GGTAGCTATAAAAAGTAATGAATGTTTGAAAATACCAAAATATATTCATTTTAAAATGATTTTAACAAAATTAAAATGATAACAAAAATTAAAAGACAATTAACTAATTTCCTTTTGGGAATAAAAGTAAACTTTATAATCCGCTTTTTTAAATATATAATTTCAGCGAAAATCCTAATATAAAGGTCTTTTTAATAATTTATATAATAAATATATAAAAGAGAGGTCGTTAATAATATTTTTTTTTACGAGGAATATATATAAACACACAAAATAAAACCAACACACAACTTCATATATTTAAATATAAAATAAATTGATTTATTCTAATATTATTTTTCTGAAATGCTAGAGGGAAATAAAATCATTATGAAATGAATATAGTTGGCTTCTCTTTACAAATTTAAATACATTTTCTACTATTGTAACTATATATATATATATTAAAAATGGCATATCCTGACCAGGAGCACATGTGCTTTTCAGAAGGCAGAGCGCCATCTGGTGGAACAGAAATCAACTATTCATTGATTTAGCCTGTTCCCTGATATTTGGCCAACCCAATTTCTTGATAAATCAAGAAAAGCCATCCACGAACGCGTTTCGCGCTTTTGGCGCTCGTCAGCGTGGAGTAGGCTGAACCATTGCGATCAAAAAATAATTTTTGATCCCAATGGCTTCCCGAAAAACCAAGAAATGGGTATTTAAGGCCAAACTTGCGTAAATACGCTTAGCACATTAAAAAACGAAAGAAAAAAATAAAAGATAAAAAGATCAGGTGTTGAAATCAATATTAAAAATGGCATATCCTGACCAGGAGCACATGTGCTTTTCAGAAGGCAGAGCGCCATCTGGTGGAACAGAAATCAACTATTCATTGATTTAGCCTGTTCCCTGATATTTGGCCAACCCAATTTCTTGATAAATCAAGAAAAGCCATCCACGAACGCGTTTCGCGCTTTTGGCGCTCGTCAGCGTGGAGTAGGCTGAACCATTGCGATCAAAAAATAATTTTTGGATGGCTTTTCTTGATTTATCAAGAAATTGGGTTGGCCAAATATCAGGGAACAGGCTAAATCAATGAATAGTTGATTTCTGTTCCACCAGATGGCGCTCTGCCTTCTGAAAAGCACATGTGCTCCTGGTCAGGATATGCCATTTTTAATATTGATTTCAACACCTGATCTTTTTATCTTTTATTTTTTTCTTTCGTTTTTTAATGTGCTAAGCGTATTTACGCAAGTTTGGCCTTAAATACCCATTTCTTGGTTTTTCGGGAAGCCATTGGGATCAAAAATTATTTTTTGATCGCAATGGTTCAGCCTACTCCACGCTGACGAGCGCCAAAAGCGCGAAACGCGTTCGTGGATGGCTTTTCTTGATTTATCAAGAAATTGGGTTGGCCAAATATCAGGGAACAGGCTAAATCAATGAATAGTTGATTTCTGTTCCACCAGATGGCGCTCTGCCTTCTGAAAAGCACATGTGCTCCTGGTCAGGATATGCCATTTTTAATATTGATTTCAACACCTGATCTTTTTATCTTTTATTTTTTTTCTTTCGTTTTTTAATATATATATATCAAAGCCATTTTCCTTCTTCCTACATATCCCTATATATATTGCTATTGTCTCTCCACATAAACATTTATTGTCCCACTCATTGTTACCTGGTGGCGTGCAAACTTTCCTTTATTTGATCAAATCCTCATATTTTTATATCAGACGAGGATTTGGAATAGTCTGGCTGCTGTACTTATTCATTCTTAATTATGCTTTTTTTGTATATGTATAATTCGAAATATTTGTAGTCTACTTTTATTATCTATAAACATCATTGACAATGGTAGCCAGACTGTTTCTTTAAATCGCATACTATTTCAATGATTTTATTTTATATAAACATTTTAAAAATATATTTACTTCCTCTGAGATAAATTCTAACATATGCTTTTTCTTAAGGCGGCTTTTTCTAAAAAAAGGCTATGGTATAATTCTTCGCATATGTTTCATTATTCTTATATTTAAAATAAATTAATAAAATGCAAACGATTTTCATATTATATGAATATTATATATGCATATTTTTATTTAAAATGAATACGCCTACTTTTTAATAGAAAATATTTTAATTTTTAAGTTATATAAAAACATATCTCTCTCTTAAATTGTCGTTTCCCTTATTAAATTTAGTAATTGAGCTTGAAAAAAACGCTAATTATATATTTATTTTGGAAAATAATTGTTTTTTTTTTTAGATCAATAAAGATTAATATTTACCTTAAAAGGCAGTACTTTTAGAGTCTTTTAGATTTTAAATAATCCTATAGTTGAAAATTTTCAAACAATTACAAATTATTTTATCATATTACACACACACACACACACACACACTCTTCCCATATTTTAGTTTTTTTTTTAAACATAAAAATACATTTCTTTATTATGGAGAAATCACACAATTATTTTTTATAAAAAAATATAAACGACATCTCAAGTCCTTTTTAAATATTCTTAAATAGTTTTGCTTTTCATTCTGAGTATATAATATAATTAGAAATTTATAAATATAAATAAATAAATATATCGAGACAAGTTATGCTGGTAACAAACGATAGGCTTTTATTCTTTGGCGAAAAATATTTTCCATTTTAATTTAAAATCGATATTATTTTCTTTGAGAACGTCTTGTTCCTAATCGATTCTATATATTGAGTATTTGAAAAAAAAAATATCAGTTAAAAATAGATTCATCTTTCCACACATAAATTCTATATTCACCAGCTTAAACACACCTCTTTGGCTAACTTCTCTCGTAGGATGTTATGATATTGAATACTGACGAGGGCTATAGACCGAAACCCTGATATACCGATTGGCTTAGGAGATATATCCCTTTTGGTACTTAAATACCTTCTTTCCGCTTTTTAAAATAGTTTTATATTTTATAAATTTGTTTTTCAAATTTATTATGAGTTCGTTATCATTCGTTCATTTCTTTCAGAGACTTGTAAAGTTTAAGAAATAGCATATGTTAGAATGGGTATGTTTGCACGCCTCACCAACACCTCTCTCCCTCCATATGTGTCAACCTTTGCTGTGATCACGTTTTGTTTGCCACCGTGACTCAGGGCTGTCCTAAGGACTCGACGGAGCTCTTCGCAAGCCGCAGCGCCTGCACCCAGCAGTAACTTTCCTTCCTAACTCACTTCAAAAGGCAACTTGGGCTTGGCGTATTCCAGTTACCCAGAAATCTCTCACATAGAGTATCTAAGTCACTCTCTCTTTCCTTTAAAGAGAAAATTGTTTCCTTTGATTCACTCTAGATGAATTGTTTACAACTCTTGCACGGATCAACTACAGGCTTTTTTTTATTATTCCCATGTACATATATATACAATCGGCGGATGGGAGAATATCCGGTGCCCTGGCAAATACTTTCATGAATATATATCATCTCAAAACTAAAAATTATTTTTTGGCAAAATATTTTAAATATCCTTTTATATATAATATCGACTCTCTCTTTTGACAAAATTCTAAAACTTTCTGGTCATTATTAAGATTAGTCAACATCTCACTTTATATTCGATACTTTTAAGCGCAAAAAGTATTTTCAAATGACATAGCCATTGGCATTTGATCCTCTCTCATTTACGCAATTCTTTTTTTTTTCTTCCTGTAGTTCAAGATCATTGCAAGCGTTAAGTTTATTTTGCCATCCTCACGTTGCCTATATTTGAAATGAGTCTACATATATACCTGCCATGTTTTCTTTCTTTTGTGAGAGCAACGATAGGAAACCCCAGCACTTTCCAAAAATAAACAAATAAAAACAAATTTGAATAGTCTTTCTTTCCATTCATAGGGAATTGATTATATACGTCATTTTCTATATAATGCATCCTTTTCTTATATACAGATGACTTTATAAGCATCTTTTTAAAAGTTTCCTGGTTGCTCTCATAACATGTGACATTTTTTTTAACCTTTCCACAAAAAATGCTATATTAAGAAGATGAAATTCTTGCTGGAGTGTAATTCAGTGTTGTTGTTTTTTCCTAGTTTGGGATGTTCGAAGCCACAATTAGTGCTTTCGTTGATGAGTTTCCTCAGTACCTGAAGAAGAGGAAGGTTGCCTTCAACGGTCTGATGTGTACGGTGCTCTTCATCTTGGGGATCCCTTGCGTAACGCAGGTAAGCCAAGCGTTAAGTCATTTTTCATTGTTACACTACATATTTTTAGGCCTTGTTTATTCTATCCCCCAAAAATATGAATTTTAGATACCCCATAACAAGAAATTCGTTGAATATTTAAAATTTTGGTTGCTTAGGTATATGTGTATTTTTAAATATAAAATTATTTCCTACAGGAAGAATAATCAAATCGACTTTTGTAAGGCAAATAATGTCTGGTATAAATATTCGAATATGCAACCTAGAAAATTTGGGGCATATGTGATATATGTATATTCTTTCTAGAACATGCACATTATCCAAACGCTTTAAAAAAATCCCTTTGAAGGTTGATGTTGCTCTTGACCAACAAAAGACACTATGTTGAATGCATTAGTAGTAGATCTTATAAACGACTGCGTTGTGCAGGGTGGAATGTACGTGCTGCGTCTGATGGACCACTACAGCGCCACCTTCGCCTTGATGATCATCTCCTTCCTCGAGACCATCGTTATTGGGTGGATCTACGGTGAGTAGAGCAGCGCGTCAAGGCGACTGACAGGTGGGTTGACCGATGGTGTGGCTCAGGATCCGACCGGTTCATGCAAGACATCAACCTCATGATCAACAGGACACCCGGCTGGTGGTGGACCCTGTGCTGGTGCGTCATCACTCCCGTGACTATCTTGGTGAGTGCTGCATGCAGCAGAGGAATGTGCCGTGGCTAACTCAGGGGTTCGAATGCAGTGCCTGCTGATCTTCATTGTGGCTACTCACGAGGCGGTCGACTACGGCTCCTATGAATTCCCTCCCTGGTCTTTAGCTCTGGGATGGATTATGGCAGTTCTGCCTCTGCTACCGTTGCCGATCTGCGCTGCGGTGGCGATGTGCAAGGCTCGCGGTAGCTTCATGCAGAGGCTGCGGGCCTGCGTCAGGCCAGAACCCACATGGGGTCCCGCTCGGCCTAACCATCGGCTCCTTTACAAGAAATCGCTGGCTGATACGCCCCCGCGTTTCCTCCAGCGCTACGTGGCAGGAGTGGAGCGCAGCCCGAGTGCTGACAATTCTGAAAGTGCTGTGTGATAACCTTGTACATATCTTTTAGCTTCCTCTGTACAGTTTAGCAAACAACCCTTCCCTACTTCTTCTTTTGTATCATACTTTGTACATATCCCACTCTAGTTGTGCGTTGAACTTTTTATTTAAAGAAATATTCTCATTTGAAATTATGTATTCGGGCACCAAAAATATGGTTTTCTAATTTTCAAAAGTCGTGTCAACTTTAGAATCACATTTCCCCCCTCTTATTTAAGTGTAAATAGTTGTTTATGAACTTTGTTTTTCTAGCGTATATTTTTGTGGCCCAAGAAATCTTAAAGATTTTCACCCGCTCCACACAATTTTTAGAATTTTTTTATTATATAAAGCATTTAATAATGTGAAAAAAGACACACATTCCAAGAAGATGATTTTTTTAAATGTGCTTCCTTCAAAACCTGCCACATATTTTGATCTTATAAATTGTTTAAATATTTCAAACACCTTTGTGATTAATGATATATTCTCAAGATTTAAAAATTATTTGAATAAATTTAATTCCTTATTTTGAAATCATTCTTCAAATAATAGGGTAAAATTATTTTATAGATTTAAAAGTTTGATAGCGAGAAGTTGATTCATTTTATTAAAATAAGAACAAAAATTTTTTTTAAAGCGTAAATTGTGTCAAAAAATACTTGACTTTATTTTATTTTTTTAAAGAAAAAAAGACTTTTTAAATTTACAGTTAAATGAAAATAACAAGAGGTAACTATCAATAATATACAGTTTTGTATATTTTGCTACAAGAACTTTTCAAATATAGCCAATTTCCTATACATGAAACCCAAAATTTTGCGTGTGGGAACATTTTTAATATAGCCATTTTTTAAAAAAGTAACTTTGCAATGAAGATTTTTTAAATGTTATGTATTTTACACGTGTTGAAGCCTCTTGTTTGAAAATACCCGAATTTAGGAAGAGTTTTAAAATCGTGTTTATTTGAATTATTTATATAAATATAGTTTTATTTTTAAATGAATTTTTGCTTCTGTAGTTTCAAATAATTTAAAATCCTACAATTTATATAGATGTCAGAAGTTTAAAATATATATTTTAGTACTCTTTTTCATTTATATATAGTATAAAATTTCTTAAACCTAATTTTTATTACATTGAAAATATTTTAATTATATGATTATTTATGTGAGCCCCTGCTTTATCAGAATTTGTGGTCAAAATAAAATTCGAAGTATTTTGCGAATATAAAAAACAAATTCGGGAAATAATCGAATCAAAGAAGAAAAAGTCGAATGTATTTCTTTATTTAAAAAAAATATTTTTAATAATAAATTTATATATAATGGAAAATAGCGAATCTACTTAACAACTTGCCATCTAAAGAGAAAAAAATTGACTTAAAGTTTAATTTAAAATTTATATAAAAAGGTTATAATTTTGTAAAATAAATTCTCGATTCAAATATAAATGTTTAATCAAATTTAAATTATTTTCAATAGCTACTTAATGCGCGAAAAATGAATTTCTGTATTTAATTAATTTAAAAAAACTGTTAAAAATGTATTTTAGAATTGGACATTTTAGAATTTATCATTTTCAGATATTCTTATAAGTATCATAATTCATTTTGAATTCGTTAAATACATTCTCCATATTTTTAATTTGTTGTATATATATTAATTAATTGTTCCACAGAGTGTGTGTAAGCTCACAGGTAAATAGGCGCTAACCGAAACAGAAAAAAGTTCCTTTGTTTAATATTAGTTTCCCTTTTTATATTTTGTTCTCTCTCTTGTAAATCAATAAATATAATGTTTAATTAATAATTATTGGAATCCGTTTCATTAAATATTCTAAGCAAAGTCAACATAATTGATAAAGGAAGTTTATGAATATACCTAGATTTTCTGCCAATTCCCAAGTAAAATAGCTAATTATAAATTTACCATATTTGGGCATATATTTACGTTATCTATGAATTCCTACTTACTATAACAGTAGCTCCTATCTACACTTTTTAATAAAATTTTAAAATATTGTTAAATATATCGTTGTCCAATTTAAAAAAAATTGTGGTTCACTGTATGATCATTTTGATATATTTCTTATTTAGAAAGGCACCTTCCTTTTTATATCTTTGAAGACTTTTCTCCCCACACAAATTTTATATATCAGCCACTTATTCTACACATGTGTCATCAAAGATAGGCCTGTACAAATCTTTATTAAATATTGACAACTAGATCTTTTTGCTACGAGAAATTCAAAGCCAAGAAAGGAATATATTTCCATTTGTGATTTCAAATGACTAGTCTGGAATAAAAAATTGCAGAAAGCTTAGTGTTGTAGCTAAAATAAACCATAAATTCAAGAAAATATATATATTGGAGTTGTGAGACAAGAATTGAACTAAAACCAAAATATATGTATGTATGTATGTATGTATGTATACGGTTTATAGATTTGTTTTGAATGGAAATGTTGAAAAAAAATAAAGATCAATTTATTGACTGTGTGTTTTTATTATGTATACATTTTTATCAGCGTTGCTAAGGTGTCTTGGAATCCAAACAGTAAATGTTTAAAAAATAAAAATTAATGGTTAGTAAAATCTTTATTTTAATTTATAAGCTAGTGAAAATATAACTTAAAATTTATATCTGAGGGTTTAGTTTTTTTAATTGTTATATATATATATATATATATATAACAATTAAAACATTTTAATGACGTCTAATCAAACAGATACAAGAGTTAAAAGGGAAATAGGAAAAATATGTACAATCGAGGTCTCAGCGACTTAGAGCTTTTCTAAAAGCGGTCAGTCTCATATATATGTGGTGAGGTCCTGTAAGCCTCTTGTAGAATTCTGTCGACTAAATATGTGATGAGTGATCCTGTTGACTCTCACTATACTGTGTTGACCGAGAGGAACAGTCAGGATAAGGAGTTTTCCAGTACCTCTCTGCACCTTGGAAGACCTAGTTCTCACTAAGTACAGGCAGTCGTGGTCGAGGCAGAGTGGAAAGCTTGGGGATGTCCATACAAAAAACGAAGACACAGTTGCACTAAGAAAGTTCCGTGAACAGATAAAAGTTGAGCTAGGAGCGAAAGATGGAGATAGAAGAGTTCTTACTGGGATACATGGTCGATGAGGTGGACCTGGGGTACAACCGACGAGAGCTCACGCAGATGGTGAAGTGACTGTATTTATAGGTCAAGACGGACATCTTCTTCCTGGAAGATGGCAATCATGACGACAATGGAGGTACCAACAACCAATCACAGTGAAGCATGAACAACTAATAGCCAATCAGAGGTAACCACGTAGAACGATCGCAACCAATGAGAAGCCGAGGTAGTTATTGATGATTATCTCGGACAGAAAGTTAGAGAAAGCAGGTGACCGGGCTAGAAGCAAGGCGTGCTCAACTCAGGCTCCAACCAAGGTAAAATTCTCTTCGATCATGTGAAAAGCAAGGTACCTCCTCCAGTCCCAACTCTCTCCCTTATCGCGAAGTCTAGGTTCTATCCCATCCAGATTTTGTCTCGTTATTTCCCCTGTGGGAACCCACCATTCAACCAACGACTGCGCCATCCATCACCCAACCTCCACCATTCATCACAAGTCACCAATCCCAAAGTAAGTTGACAGGAGTCAACAGGATCTTACACAGGATCAACATCGAAATATTATTATAGTGAGTCGACAGGATCAAATCGAATTCTCACATAGAGTCGACAGGATCTATTCGAATCTCACATATATATATGGAGAATTTGCCGGGAGGAAATTAATCCATAGAAGCAATGGGCGCTTCTCCCGTCAAAATAAACGTCAAAATCTGACGCCATCTATTGACCGTCGCCGCAACTAGCGGCCTCGGGTAGGTGACAAAGCCACAACACCAGCTTTGGCAAACTGACGAGGGCCATTAGCCCGAAACCATGGTCTCTAGGTTGACGCTTCTCAGTTTTCCGAAGCTGGTGTTGTGGCTTTGTCACCGACCCGAGGCCGCTAGTTGCGGCGACGGTCAATAGATGGCGTCAGATTTTGACGTTTATTTTGACGGGAGAAGCGCCCATTGCTTCTATGTATATATATATATACTGTGTACGCTGCGCTGCCTGGAGTACAGGAGCTCCATCTATGATTCCTTTCTTCCTGTGGTGAATCTGTATAAGACCGATGGTCTTAAAGCTTTATATGTGTGTGTATATGTAATATTGTGTTGAGATCCTGTCGACTCTCTGTAATAATGTGTTGGGGTTTGGTAAGCCTGTTGTAGAACCTCGTCGACTCTCGCTATAAGTTGTGGCAACCGAGGGTCAAACCTGTAGTAACCGCGAGGGACAGTCAGGGGTGGAGAGTTTTCCAGTACCTCTCTGCACCTTGTAGGACCTTTAACAGTTCTCACAAAGTACAGGCAGTCGTGGTCGAGGCAGAGTGGAAAAAGCTTGGGAATGTCCACACACACAAAAAACGAAGCGACACGTTGTAGAAGGGAAGTTCCTTGAATAGATAAAAAGCGAGCCAAGAGCAAAGATGGAGATCGAGAAGGTTTCTTACTGTTTTACATGGTCGATGAGTTGGTGACAACCGGCGATAAGGGATGACGCTGACCGGAACTGACTAGAACTGAACTGGCTGTTGCTACGTGGGGTTCTATTTATACAACTCTTTTGGACCAGGAAGGGGACCAGGAAGTTTTGCCTTTCTGCACGTGTCGACACTGGCGCCTGTCTGTTGGTTTCCATCTATCTTTAGAAGTTACTTGTGATTCTCTCTCTGGCTCTTAACTCAGCTTTTAATCTATTATATATTTTTATTTATTCATCCTCAGTACATTACATTTGG